TCCGGCTAAGCAAACTGCAAGGATGGCAGTTTGCGCTGAAATTCCTGCAAGGTCATCAGAAGGGCTGATATGACTCCAGTCAACTTTTTAAAAGACTTTTTTTGTGTTATTTATTTTTCTTTCTTTAGCAGAATCAGTGAGCTGGCTCTTGTGTAGTGAATAACAAGAACTTAAGACATTTGCGTGGTTCTACCCTCTTCTAAATATGTAAAAGTTTATCCATCATTTAAATAATGAAATTTTCTAAATCATCTAGTAGCAACACTAATAAATATTTTTAATAAAGAATATGAATCATTAGTGAATCATTATCATGTCTTGGGAGAAAATACTTTTTCGTATTCATAATATTTATAAAAACGTACAAACATTTTTAAATTCCAAATAAAAATAAATTATTGATTGACACAATACATAAATTCTTGATTGACAGTATTGACGGATGGCACATACAGTGCTGCTGCATTGCTGTTTTCTTGTTTAATATAGCGATTTTCCACTAAACGGACAAAACAAAAACAAAACACAAACTCGTGTCGAGAAAAACAAAACTGCATCTTTTCGTAAACTTTTTGAAGCCTGGCATGTCTTGCGACAGTTGGAGTTTTGTTTCTCGAGTCCTATTCGAAAGCGGTAACATCAAATGGTTTTGACGTGTTTTGAAACTCGAGTCTATTTACTGGAAACGATCGTGTTGTATATTCTAAATTTTCAATCAACTTGGTACCTATAAGTAAGTAAATAACTTATTTTTTTGTAGATAGGTAATTAGTAATAAGTTATATATTTTTAACGCTGGATAAATTTATATAAATATATTTATGAGTAGAATATACAGTGTGTCTACTTAAGTTGGAACCATATGGAAAACATTTTTATTATTGATTTCAGGAAAAAAAGTTATTCTTGATAAAAAGTCCTGCATGACCCAAAACTTAAAATACAGTCATCAGATATCAAATTTTTCAAGCCGTATACGAGGTTTGTCAAAAAATATGAATTTTGCTCAAGAGTAAAGTAAGTTTATTTTTTACAAAATCGAAAATTTTCATTAAGAAATTTGCTAAATTCTTCACAAACATCAAGGAAAGCGTATCATGTTTATAGTAGTTAACGTAATTTATAACGTTTTCAGATATTTACAATCAATGTGTAGAGTGTAGAGTTTATAAAAAATAAGAAAATCTGTTTTTTCAGATAGATCGGTGTAATTGCATATTTGAATGTAATATTCAATTCTAATCAACTTTTCTTAATGAAAATTTTCGATTTTGTCAAAAATAAACGTACTTTACTCCTGAGCAAAATTCATATTTTTTGACAAACCTCGTATACGGCTTGAAAAATTTGATATGTGATGACTGTATTTTAGGTTTTGGGTCATGCAGGACTTTTTATCAAGAATAACTTTTTTTCCTAAAATCAATAATAAAAATGTTTTCCATATGGTTCCAACTTAAGTAGACACTCTGAGCCAGACTAAGTTAAGTTCAAATATTGTCCTTTTAAGTTTTCATGATGTCACATACATATTTTAAACTACTTTTATTTGAATTTTCAATTTGGACCTATCTTAAAAAATATATAAATAAAATATTAAAAAAATGTGTTCTGAATTCCTCGCAACACCTAATGGAAAAGGACCGAAAACAAAAACAAAACTGTAACAAAATGTAGTCCGCTTGATGGAAACAAGAGTTTTGGGTCTCTCTCCGTTTTGTTCTTGTTTTTTTAAGTTTCAGAAAAGACAAATAAAACATAAACTCAACTGTCCGTTTAGTGGAAAACCGTCTTTAAGTTACTTCTTTTAAAAAAAAAATTATATTATACATTTAAAAGATATTTGTTTAACGATATTTTAGAAGTCCAATAGTAGAAAGGTGGACACAAACGTACATTACCTCTCGTATACCGTCTAACCTGTAACGTTGTGTCGCTAGTTCCTATTGGTCTATTCCCGGCTACGTCATAAATTTTAAAAAATTAATAAGTGGCAAATAGAAAGATTAAAAAAATTAAAAGTAGCTTTATTTTTAAATGTATTATTCATAAAAAAAAATTTCAAAAGTTTTGAACATGCCCCGTTGTTACACCAAAAAGAAAATAAGAACAATTATAATATTCGTTTATTCTAAAGAATATATTTGGCATTAAAGATTTAACTACTTTGTATCACAAAAATCAAATACATATACAAACTTTTATGAAAGGATTGCTAGTACCTACCTTATCAACTTTTTCAGAATTATGTGAAAAAAACTCCCTGGTTGCTCCCAGAACTTTTTGATAGCATGTGGTAATACGTATAAAATCATCCAAACCGCTTTTAATACTGGGCGCTCTAGATCTGAGGTTGGTTTTCAATCCTTACGTAAAATCCTATGTGGATCCTTGGTGTTTCCGATTTGAAATTATGGTTTAGTTTTACTCTACCCATGCTTGGAACACATAACTAAATGCAGGTTTCAAAAATTTTAAAACTTTTGTTTAAGACAATACGTCAGGGATTATGCAAAATTTAATGGCCTTAAGTGCCTTAAAATCTAAAATACCTCAGGCCATCTTCAGTTTTTTAAATTTTATAAACTCTTAAGCCTCCCTATGTTAGTGCGAAATTACAATATCGAGATAATATACATAATTTACCTTTAAGGTATCCTGATACATTAATGTTGCCCAGATACAATCTAACCATGTGAATTACAATAGAATCTTTTTTTAATAACATACCGGTCGATCTTAAGTCTCTTAAGTTTTCGAGAAAATATATAAAACTGTACTGTTAAATATATTGACAGAATTTGAATTTATTTCTGATGTCATAAATTTTCTAAATTTAAGTTTAAGTAATATTAATCAATTTGTTTTATACAGTGGCTACAGTTTTAGCAAATATCGTGCCTCATCATCGTGTTTCATCAGGAGTTCCACAAGGATCAAATCTTGGACATCTTCTTTTTATTTTTCACTGATGATTCGTCTAAACTTCGATCGTGTGAAAAATTAAAATATACTGATATTGTCACGTTAAGCGTGTTTTTTTTTTAAACAATGTCACGTTTAACGTGTTTTAAATAATTATGGGACTATCTATGTCCCGGGGGTCAAATAACAAAATATATAAATTCGGACCTAAATCGTATAGGGACTCTATTTCCTTAAAATAGGCTTTGTGGCTATTAACTATATGGGGGGTTTATTCGGCAATTAAGAACCTTTGAAGATTAAAGAAAACATAACGTTTTCTTAAAACAAATATAGAATATATTTAATATAAAAATACAAAATAGGCTACAGCTCGACATACATAAAAATGGGCTTAATGTAATAACAAGTACATAAAACGTAGACTTACCAACTCCACTAATGCTTGGGCACATGTCACAACCCTTAGCTAACTATTCAAAAATGCAATTATTCAAAATACAAAATAAAGACTTTTAAATTGGACTATGAAGATCATGAGCTGGAGCTGCTACAGGGAATCTCCTACAAGGGGGACCTCCTATGGGGAGGATCCATTCCCAGTGGAAAAAGCCTTGCGCATCACCTCGACATCACCTTTATACCTTGCATATGATTGCTAATCAAAAAAATAAAGTTTTATATACAGGATGTTATTTAAATAATTAATTAAAATTAGGAAAAATATGAATTTATACGAGTCGTGACAATATTCTAAAAATCTTTGCAATAAAAAGTAGCACCGTTTGTAATACCCTACAAGATAACCTTAACATTGTTAAATAACTGATTTGTGGAAAATAAGCTTGACCTTAATGTTTATAAGTGTGAAATTGTTTATTTTACAAGGAAAAAGATATCATTGAATATGATTATAAAATAAGCAGTGTCTCAAAAATTTATCGGACACTAGCAATTCTTATTAAAAAATGGTTTAGATTAGGTATATATCCATCTTTTCTTAAAACTAGTGTTGCATATCACTGCATATAAGCGGGATAACTATCCAACTACAGGCCAATTTCCCTCATATAATCTTAGGGTAAATTAATTGAAAAACTTGTTAAATTTCGCTTATATAAGTTTAAAATTAATTCAATATTCTAACAATGAATCAGTTTGGATGTTGTACGAAATCTGGCACCGAAGATGCAATCCTCAACTGTTTCTAAACAGTTTACAACAGCATAAACATACGTAAAACTGCTGTAACTTAACAAAAGCTTTTGATTACGTAAGTTATAGATTTTACTTTAGCCCTTTAAGTTTTAGAGACCTAATTTTTTAAAATCCATAATTATTAGTTTAAACTATTTTTCTCAAGCTTTTCTGTGTAAAAATTTTTTCGTTGAGTTTTCTCTCGATATATGGATTTATCTATTCTGAGACTTTAGGTTCTGAGGTGCCGGTTACCTCTGCCTACACTCGTGCCAGGATTAAAAGGGCGTCGCTCCCCTGCTGGTTCCGCCGACTGCATAGACCATATGTTCGTACACACGATCCTGTCCTCAAAACAGAATAGAACCAACCGTCTGAATGCTCTGATCAGGTCACAAATAAATCAACATAAACAACAACAATGGATCAGAACCGCCCCAAATTTGAACTTCAGAATTCTCAAAAACTCTTAAACACAAACCTAAATCTCTGACTGAAGTTTATTATTTGATTAAAAAATATTTTTTTCTATCCACATGGATATTAGCTATTCTACGCAGAGAATACAAAACGAAAAAGTATGTCATTGCGTTCAACTAAACGAATATATTTCATTATTATTGGGTAGGTGGCGTAGCGATCTCACGCACTTATATTCATTTATAGGCAAGTTTGTGATCAGAGATAGAGGGGCTTTGAATCCTACACCAGACCATGTAGATTTTTAATTAAATTGCACGGTTCGGTATATGATTTAATGTGTGCCGTATTAATAGAAATTCGATTTCTGTTGATATGACATGCATATTATAAAATCGCCATGCATTAACGTCTCGGTGATGGTGGGTGAGTTTTTCCGGGTTTTCCTCACTTGTAATTCAAATGGCACCGTCAATCATCTTTAAGTCGCCCCGGAGCGCCACGGCAAATAATAATAATAGCCGTCCCTTTCTCCGCACAAGCTCGCTTTTGGGGTTAAAATTCACTCATAAAGGGGTGAATTAGGGAGAGTATTATTATTATTATCTTCTTACCTTGTATATTCATACACTTTTATATGTATTTGAATAATACTTGTATGAATTAACTCTGCTTTTAATATTCAATGTTATTTCTGAAAGAAAGTTTTAATAGAAAAGTTCAAAACAAATTATATTTTCAAAAAACTAATACAAAACATAAACAATTTACGGTACCTGCGTAGGAATTATCTCACCACTTTGAAGTTGAAATCCAGGACACATCCATCCAAATGGCGCCATGGCTGGTGGTCGAATTGGCCGTCGTTTTATAACTACACGTTCCCCACAAGGATGTGCAGGCTTTTCTGGTGGTCGACAAGGTGTGTGTTTTGGAATCTGGTCCTTCTTCAAGGGCGTGTAGTATTTTACTGGCATTCCTGGTCTTACCACCGGTTTAAAGACAGCCGCTTGGGGTACGCATGGTACTGGCAACATACCGCATGGACAACATTCTGGGCTGCTTGGACATAGAGTAATAGGAACGCAACATATGTTGGGATAACATGGTTGTGTAAAGAAACTGCAGTCCATGGTGGTTTATTATTGTGTAAATTTTGAATTTTAGGTTTACTAGTTAATCACATTTCCAGTTAAAATGTCATTTTAGTGACAGAAGTAAAAAAACTGTCACCGCACAAAAGTGTTGTTTATTGTTACTTTTGTCACAGAAGAAAAAACAATAAGAGAACAATACAGAAAAGAAAGTAATGGTCGGAACTTTGAAGTAGAAGGGATAGAAATATTTGACTTTCAGTTCCACCACAGAGATACTCTGAAAAAACGTAACTATTCACAGCACACGCGAACGTAGCTTTTCACTGAACCTACACTGCGAAAACTACATTTCTCTTTTACATAATTATGTGTCATATTTTATGAAAATTTGTATGAATGCATTTTTAACTATTCTCGATTTAAGTAACATATTTTTCGATTTATAGCACTTCCGACAGGTTTCAAAAATAAAAATTATAAAGTTTTAAACAATAATTTTTTTATATTATATAAACGGTAAAAAACAGTTGAAAAACTATGTACTCAAATCATGTACATATTTAATTAGACCTCTATTGTCTAAAAAAGGGATCACACACCTATGACAAATTTTGTTAAAACTATTACATAGTATTCATAACATAACAAAATCGTTTTAAGTGTTTGAAAATTAAAATAATTAAAATTGTTTACAGAGATTTATAGAGCAAGCCCAATTTATAATACATAGATAATTAGCTTTATTAAAATAGCTACATCCTAATATTCAACAAAAATATAGAATAATTATATAAATTTTTCTTCTTTTTTGCACAAAACAAACGTTTCCTTAACATTTCAATCTTTAGTCGCAGTCTCTGCTTTCTTGAAGTGTTTGATGATAACACACTACGCCTTTGAATTTGTGCTATTACACAAGGTAGAGAAACAGATGGTTGACTATGCACTTGTTCCACAGATTCTACTTCTGCTGAAGTTGAGGGTAGACACATGTTGTCTTTGCCTTCTTCGCCATGAACAACAAATTCCTCTATTAAAAAGATAGAGAAACAAATTTTTAACAGATCAACGAGTATCAAAAATAATTTGTCAGAATTAAATGTTTGAGTCACACTTTTTAGCCAGATGAAATTTAAAATTATTTCATAAAATGTGAATATATTTCTGTGCCTAGGAGGTAAACTGCACTATGTCATTTTAGTCAACTTTTGAGTACAGCAGATTGAATGTTGTTAAATTATTAAATTTCAACTAGTTATGCATTTAGACACCCATTTATTGTAAAAATATTTGTATTTTTTACTGACCTAACTAATAAAACTACTTTATTTTAATTTGCATAAGTTGTTGTATGTCGACATAGTGCAGTTTACATCCAAGGTTGTCCTATAAAATGGAATGTATGGGTTGATATTCGAAGATTATTAGTACTTATCATTTTATTTTTTAAACTACTAAATGTAATGTTAAAAAATGACAAGAAATACTAGTAGCAAACTTTTTGTATCATTTAACTATAAATTTTATTTATTTACCTTGCAAAACTGTGCCTTTTTTCGTAGGATCTAAATGGGGAAATACTTTTGGGAATGCATTTGCAAATAATCGTTTTATGGTTCCTGACTGATAAAAGAATTTATCCTGGAAGTGCAGTTCACAAATTTTGTAATTTTTACTTAAGTGTTTAATACTCTTTCCCAATAAGTCGTCTCTATTTCCCAATAAGTCCTCTCTATTTGCTGCCTTAAGCCACAATTCAAGTCTGAAAAATAAATACAATCATTGCACTACAATGTTAGGTCAATTCCTATTTCACCCTCAATGTTTTATACAAACCTCACTGGATCTTTCACAAAAGTAAACAATCCTTCTTTGCCACCTGTTCTTGAGGTACATCCACGATAAATACAAGTATATCCCCCTCCTCTTTGAGGCGGCATTGTTTATAAATCTAATCTTAATAGGTACAATATTCTTAAATTAACACTCCACAATTAAAAACAGCAACAAAAACTAAAAAAAACTACTAAAAAAACGTAAAAGTTACCAGAATATTCGCTAAAAACAACCAAAAATCCAAAACGACAAATAAAGACACAGGCAAAAAAATATTGATTTTCTGACAGCGACAGCAGTGACAGCTTCGTTCATCTGCTACAGAAGTGTGTACTGTTCACATACTTGTGAATGGTCGCACTGCGCAGCTTTCTGAGTGCCTTTTAAAAGAAGATAGAAAACTTCGCCATTTTGAACCCTTATTACGTGTTGCCTACATCTTGGCGCAATATTTTTAATAGGTGCATTTTAATCATCCGCTTCTGCTTCGGAATTGTCGGTTTTCTTGTTTTAATCTGACAGGTTAGAACGACTGAACCGACAATTCCGGAAGCAGAAGCGGATGATTAAAACGCACCTGATATTTTGCTTGCTGCTGTCAGTGTCAGTGAATATTATTTTTGGAGTCACAGTTTATTGCTAAAGAATCAGTTAGCTCACTCGGACCAGTTGAAAGTTCCAAAATAACATCCACTCCAGGAATACAAATTCAGGATACGCAGAAGACTGCTGTTTTATTATAGGCGATTGTCATATATTGTATTATCTGAGCTGCGCAGTGTATAAACTGGAACATTGAGATAAAAAGTGCCGACGCAGAGTGAAATATCTGATTCTTTAGCTATAAACTGTGTCATAGGGTTCAAAATAGCCGCGCCCTATGTTGGGCGTGTCGGACCTCTCTCTTGCCCCGTATAGTAATCAAAGTATGTGGTACCGTTGCACTTAGAACAAGTAACAAATCTACGATCTCTACGGTTTACTTTTGACAATGCTCCACCATGAAGAAGGCGTGGCTTCGGTTGCTAGGTTTCTGTTTTAGGCCTATGTTTCTTTTCTGTATTGTTATTTATCCTATGCTTTTATGATTTAAAATTAAAAATAGTTTGGTGATATTATGTTAATATCAGAGATAGAGACATAAATATAGGAAACGGTCATAAAAAGCCCATGCCTAATAACGACCACCTTAAACGCAGTTAACATCAGACCCACTATGTAGCGCTTTCATCGATATCAAATAAAAACCTAACCTAACCTAACCTAACCTAACCTAACCTAACCTAACCTAACCTAACCTAACCTAACCTAACCTAACCTAACCTAACCTAACCTAACCTAACCTAACCTAACCTAACCTAACCTAACCTAACCTAACCTAACCTAACCTAACCTAACCTAACCTAACCTAACCTAACCTAACCTAACCTAACCTAACCTAACCTAACCTAACCTAACCTAACCTAACCTAACCTAACCTAACCTACCTAACCTAACCTAACCTAACCTAACCTAACCTAACCTAACCTAACCTAACCTAACCTAACCTAACCTAACCTAACCTAACCTAACCTAACCTAACCTAACCTAACCTAACCTAACCTAACCTAACCTAACCTAACCTAACCTAACCTAACCTAACCTAACCTAACCTAACCTAACCTAACCTAACCTAACCTAACCTAACCTAACCTAACCTAACCTAACCTAACCTAACCTAACCTAACCTAACCTAACCTAACCTAACCTAACCTAACCTAACCTAACCTAACCTAACCTAACCTAACCTAACCTAACCTAACCTAACCTAACCTAACCTAACCTAACCTAACCTAACCTAACCTAACCTAACCTAACCTAACCTAACCTAACCTAACCTAACCTAACCTAACCTAACCTAACCTAACCTAACCTAACCTAACCTAACACAGCAGAAAATAAGGACCTGATAATAAAGGTTGCATAAATATCGATTAAACTCTCATGTTCTGGTAAAAAAAATTAAACAATATTAATTACACTAAATTAATTATTAAAAAGAAGACTATTATCGATTAATTATTATAAATTTACTTTTGACAAATATTTTTTAACTTTTGATTGTTTTTAACTTTAACATTTTTGTTCTGATTTTCCAAACGAATGGCCAAACGGTGTCTCATTTATAAAAATGTTGATTGCAAATTCAATCATGAGAATTTAGATATTTTTCTTCCTATATCGAATCTTCTTTTTAATATTTTAAATCATTTTTTTTGTTCTAAAACAATAAATAATAATAAATACATACTTTGTGACAAAAGTTGATTACTGTTTGTGTTACTTACATGGCTATATCTTACTTTGGTAAACTAACGAACACCACATTGGGGTTGGTAAATTTATTCACTATGTATTATTAATGCAATACGTGCTTCGACTCATTGTTATATTACAAAATATAATTATTGTCCTTAAATTCCACACAGAAACAACCACAACCATTTTGCTTATTTCATATTAGAAAACAACTAATTCACATTTTTTTTGTTTACAAACTATCCACTGCTGTCTTCAAACGACGTGTACCTTTAGTTAAGATCTGAAACGCATCGCCATCGTTGCTGCGTTCGTTGTGTTTCCCAACTTTATGTCCCTGATGTATGGTTAATATATTTCATAGATTCACAACATATGAACTTTTTTTGGTTAATATCCCATATTATTGAGTTTCAAATGTTTCTGTAAAATAGTGTTAATTGCTTTCTATACCAATCTTTAAAGTTCCTTAAATATTTTTGACAGTAATGTGCCGGTCAACTTTAATCATGGTCTAAAAATTATCTATATTTTTTTCAGTAACTGCCATTTTTGGCTTCATTAAAAAGTCACATACTTTTTTCGCGCCTAAGTAATGCGAAATTGTTAAATAACAAATTTATAATTGACAATCAATTTCAGCATTTTGTCATTCAGTGGCAACAAACTTAAGTTAATAATAAAAAAAATTAAAAACATGCTTTTATAAGTCCGCCATATTGAATTTAGAGTGACATTATTTTATTTTTGTGTTCTTCATAATAAACCCTTTTATTTGACAAACATATCATGATCATGATGGTAGATAAGAAAATTTTGATCGCCATCTTGGAGCGTCCGTCATTTGAATTAATCTCACTTTATTTATTTGTTTCGTATATTTCTCATTGAAGTATTTGATTTTCCTGAACAAACCCTTTTAATTATTGATACTCACTGAGATGTATACCAAATAACTAATAGTGGGATTAGAATGACGTAACTTAGCTAACCATGCATTGGTACTAAAACTTATCGGGCGTGCAAAATTTTAGCTTAATCGGATGTTGATAACTGTT